CTTTTCTTTTTTTTTAATTCTTTTCTCTTCCCTGCCATACCAGAAAAATTTTATTTCATTTATTATTTCAGTATTAGATTTCACTTTGTTTCATGTCATTCAATACACCATGACAGCATGCTTTTATCACTCATTTTCATTGTCTCCTGGCATATATATTTACTTCAGTATATTGTTTCTGTTACCATCACCACTTCATTTCATTTTACATCTTTTCATCTCATTTAACTACAGCTCCTTGTATTGCATTATATGACATTTCCTGTTGTGATACTTTGTTTGTGATCTAACAAATAAAGCTTTCCTGAAGATCAGAGTCCATCGGTAGGCACACTAGTAGACAGTAGAAGCCAAGCAGTGGTGGCACACATCTTTTATCCCAGCACTCAGGATACAGAGGCAGATGGATCTGTGAGTTCAATGCCATCCTGGCCTAAGAGAGACTGAATCAGTCTAAAAAAGACAGTACTCACACCTTTGATCCCAGCACTTGTGATCACAAGGCTTTAATCCCAGCACTAGGAAGTTAGAGATAGGAGTGATTTGGCTGGATGGTAGAGGAATATAAAGCCAGAGGAGACTGGAGCTCAGAGCATTAACTCTGAGGATTTCTCAGACAGGAAAGGATCTTACCTATTCGGTTTAAGCATTTGTAGAGTTAGGAACTCTAGTGGTTGGCTGCGCTGCTTCCCTGATCTTTCATTTTTTACCCCCTAATATCTGATACTGGGCTTTTTATTAATAAGACTAATTAGGATTGCATTACATCCTGTCATTTCATGGTATTTATTTTATTTCAACTCCTTGCATTGCATTTATTAGTTCCATCTCTTTCCTTGTTTCTTTTAATCATCATAACATCAATTCAATGCTTTACATTTCATTACGTCCTTATATTTACATTATCCTTATACATTTCATTTATAATAACATAATATTTAAAAATACATCATTTTAAAGTAAATTTTTAAAATTTATCTGAACTTCTTTTTTCCAAGTCATTTCAATCTACCATTTTATTGCATTTTGTTTTGTTGGACTTATTTATATTTCTATCTATATTGTTTTCCTTTGGTTTCAACATTGTAAAAAGTTATCTAATTTCAGATTTTATTTCGTTTCATTTTCTCATTTGATCAATATTTTGTTTAGGTTCTTGTTATGTTAGACCCTGGAAAACTCAAGTATCCGGGGTCCCAGGTCACGTTCGAGGTCACCCCAATCACCAGGCAGATTTGAGAGCTTGATGCAATCAGCACGAGGCTTTATTGTAATTTAACGAGCTAACCCCATGTTAGCTCAGGTCTTTCACCCACCCGCCATGGCAGATAGCTAGAAAA